CTGCCTTCAACATAAATATACATTTTTTTTCAGTTGTATTGCTACAGATCAGAGTCAAGGTCAAAGTATATACTGACTGGATATTTCAAAACCAATCTATGTTTAGCTTTAATTTAAGCATAATCTTCACACAAAATGCTTATGAGAGGTTTTTACTCTTAAATACACATATTTTTAATTCTAACCCATCAATATATATATGTAAATATATATATATATTGTTTCCATTGGAATTCTATTTGTAAAATATTGTACAAATGATGCAAGTTAAGTTGAATTTTATTTTGAAAGTACTGTTTAACTTGATTTTTACTTTTTTAATTGCAAAAATTGCTGGGATAAATGAAACTTTTATAAAGGGGAATATACTTGAAATGTCTTGATTTCTTTTCTAAATTGGATTTGTGTGTAACTATCCTCCAACCAGCATAATTAAGGGATCATAAGTGTTCATTCCTTTATAAACACAGATTTCTTCACTGTCAAATGTTGCTCTAAGCAAAAATTTGGCAAACAAAGAGTTCAAAAAAGTCAATGATTTGTGAAGAAATATGATCCTCGATGTGTACAAAAATATTATCTATGGTTTTAGATGTCTTTTATGTTTTTATTGCTCAAAAATAGATTTTTTTTTTCTTTTTTTTATTATTGAACATTTTCAGCCTTCCATTGACTGAAATAGATGACTGCCTTAGGGCATTTTTGAAAGGGATATCTAAAAGAAAAATGGCTAAACTCCTTTGTTCAGAATTGCTGCTCTGCATATCCAGTAAATTTTGTAATACAAAGACATACCAGTCAATGGGGAGTTTTGTTTGTGAAAGGACTATAAGAGTAGGTTCTTTGTATGCAAGTGTGCCAACCAAACAGGCATGATAAGACTGCAGTGGCCAGGAAGGGGTAATCACAGCCATCTTCTCAATTTTCATATTTGAGAACATCTCAGGATTCCACACTTGAGTAGTTTGGATTAAACAGTAGGGAAGGCCAGTGAGGAAAGGAAGAGAAATTGTTCACACTACAGAACAGCTAGGAAGTCCTGCTAGCTAGTCACATGATTTAGGCAGTCTCATGCTCAGACACAAGAATAAGGTGGCCTTCCTCAAACATGGGAAGACTTTGGTTTTTGCCGAGCTTTAATATGAAGCTGACTATTCACTTGCCTACAGAGCAGGTCATTGATGCAGGCACAGTGGATAAAAGGCTCTGAGTCACCCTCACACTACTCTGCTTTTACACAGCGTCCACACTGCCAAGCCACGGCACAGTCTACAAGATGCTGAATGCCCACCTATAAAAGAGCGAGCCATGATAACTGGGCTTTTGTCTGAATTATGGGCTTGGCTTCTAACAGAAACAGAGAAGAATATTGACACAATCTGATGTCCTGCCATCTTTTGCATTGTATAGGGAATGTATTGGAGCAGAATTGATACAGAGTCCTGCTTCTGCTGAAGCTGAAGCTGGAGGGGATTACACCAGGTATAAGTGCAAATGGTACTCCCTAATTCAGTTTTCTTTGACAGAAAAAGAAGAGCACAAGATAAATATGCTCAGGTTGAGAACAACTCTTAATAAAGAGTCCCTCATTATCTTTCCTGCAGGTGTCATTTAAGTACTGGAGCCTTCTCTTCTCGAGGCTAAATACCCTCAATATTCTCAGCCTGTCTTCGTAGGAGAGGTGCTGCAGCCTTTGCTCATCTTCATGGCCCTCCTCTGGACTTCTTCTTAGTACTTCCTTGTCATTCTTGTGCTGGGGGCCCCAGAGCTGCACACAGTGCTCCAGACGGGGTCTCACAGGAGCAGAGCAGAGGGGCAGAATCCCCTGCCTCACCCTGCTGGCCATACTGCTTGTGATGCAGCCCAGGACACGGTTGGCTTTCTGGGCTGCAAGAGCACATTCCTAGCTCATGTTGAACTTTTCATCCACCAGCACCACAAGGGCTGGGCTGTGTACAAAAGACCTAACCATTTACTCTTGGAGGCTAAGAAGTTTCATTAGCAGTTAGGATATATAGGAAGTCTCTGTTCTTTATTCCTGAATCAGCACAGATGACTTAGTTAAACTGTTTATTACCTTTCTTTCTTTGCTTGTATCTACTAGAAGAGACTGCTTTGTGAAGCAGTGATGTAGTCTTTGTGATGTATTTACATCAGTCTCAGCAGATCTGAAAGAATAAAGCCAGATCCTTGTCCTCACATTTATTCTGGACACTCAGACATTGCTCAGTGCAGAATTGCAGAGGTCAACATTGCTGGAATAAATTTTAGAAGTGATGTTTATTAGTGCATATTAGCCAGTAAGAAATGCATTGGCAAAGCCTTGATCAGAAGAAAAGATCTTAAAGACTTTGTTCTTCTCCACTGGTGCTGCAGTTACCACCAAAAACTTTCTATAAATTGCTTTATTTTTTTTGCTGTGTGTTTGGATATGTATTGACATGCTAGATTATAATAGATGCTTAATGGCTATTATGGTTTAACAGGTTTGTTAAATTCACTTAAAAAACAAAACAAAAAACACTAAGCAGGCATTTTCATAATAGGAGAAAAAAAATCTAAGCATCAGAAAGACAATGCAAACAATAATAAAAAAAACCTCTGCTGATATACTCTGAAATATTGGCTAAGTTCGTAAGCTCCATTTTACATTGAATCTGGAGAGGAACATGAACAGCATGAAGAGTTTCTACAGGGAGAAGAACAGGAAAATGCAAAATCATGCTGAACCAACACGATAACCTGATAGTGACATGACAAGCTTGGTGAACAAGAAAACGGTGGATGTTTTTTAGTTTTACATTAATAAGATCTTTGAGCTGCTTCCAGAATATCTGTGTAGACAAACTGAAGTATGGACTATGCATTCAAAACTAACAGAAATGCTGGGCTCAAAAGGCTATGATCAGTGGCACAAAGTCCATCTGGATGCCAGTATCTAATAGTGACCCCTATGAGTCAATACTGGGTCCAGTGTTGCTTAAAATCTCAGTTAATGGCTCAGATGATGGGACAGAATGCAAGCTTGCAGACAACAGAGAACTGGGATGAGTGGTCATTATACCAGGTGGTTGTGCTGACCTTCAGAGTGAGAATCTGGAAAAACAGGTTGACAGATGTATCAAGAAGTTCAACAAAAAGTCAATGGCAACCCTGGGGATGAATAAGTGTATGTGCATTAGTGCAGGCTGGAGGACAACTGGCTGGGAAGGAGCCCTGCAGAAAACGTCCTGGTGGTCCTGGTGGAGGATAGTGGGTGAGCAATGAACCTGTACAGCGCGGCAGGCCAGCAGCCTCTCCTGGGCTGCGCCAGGAACAGCATCGTATCACCTGCAGGTTGAGGGTGTGATCCTACTCCTCTGCTCAGCACTGGGAAGGCCACAGCTGGAGGACTGGGCCCTGTCCAGGGTTCCGCAGTATGAGGAGGATGTGGATGTACTGGAATGAGACAGCAAAGGGCTATGAAAATGCTGAAGGGCTTGGGGCAAGTAAGCTACAGGGAAAAGCTGTGAGCCAGACTCTTCCTGGTGGTGCCTGGGGACAGGCCATGAGTCAATGGGCACAAACTGAAATGGGGGAAATTCTAATCTGACAATTGACCAAGAAAAAGCTATTGTGAGGGTGTCTGAGAAGGCTCTGAGGTCTCAATCCTTAGAAGTCCCTTACAACTTTGTCCATTCTGTGACTCTGCTTTTCAGATAGTTCATTGTAACATATGCTGCAGTCAGTAGAGATTTTTTTTTCCTTCTTTTTCTCCCCTCCGCCCCCCCAAGAAAATCATGTAGCAGTTAATAAACAAAAGGTCAGCTCACATCTTTGTGTACCACTTCCCTCATTTTTCTTTCTGTTTGTCTGAGAGTGCTTTCTCCCAGCATGTGGACCAGGAATGGGAGATCTCCTGTCTCATGTTGTTCATGTTGCATAAATGCTCATACTGCAGTGAATTAGTGATAGTTCTCAAGCCTTATTTTGTTTCCTGAGGGCAAAGGCAGTACACACCAGTTTAAATGTGCTATTATTTTAAATGTTTGGAGGCTGATCCTACAAACCCTTTCTAGGATGAGTAATTCCGATATGAAGTTTTCTTTCCCTGAGCTATTCATTTTTTGAAAGGGTTACTCTTTGCAGGAACCAATCATTGTGTTATACGTGAGTGTTTAGAAACTGGACTGTGAAAATATTTCTAAACATAGAATGATAATGTGGATGGTTGTTAGCAATGCAATTCCTCCAGCAAACAGGAATGGTTACTGCATACAGAATCAGTTTTACCTTCATTACTTTTCAAGAGGTTACTTAAATATATTTCGTATCTGCTATAGAACAAGTAGGAAACAGAATGTGGAAGAATGAAGGTTTCTCGTATCAATTGTGGTCTTTTTTTTTTTTTTTTTTTTTTTTTTTTTTTTTTAACTGGCAGTTGTTCCTGTTTTCAAGTGTTTGTTTCTACTTTAATGAGGATACCAACTTTCATCCAGTGAGAAGTGTGGGTCACTTTGTTAGCGCACTTGCACACACCAAGGCAATATACCAGCTGGAAATTTTGACTTTTAGCTGAATTATTTTTCTCCAGCAAATGGCTTTCCTTTTGACATATTTTAATGTACTTGCACACTGAGAGGAAGAGTGGGTGAACAGAAAACAGACTGTTTTATTAACCCAGCAGTCACCTTTGAGATTCATACATGTCCACTTTTTTCTCGCCTTTGTACCTAATCCCAAGAGACTGGTACCTGGCTTCCCTTGGAATAACAAAGTCAGTCACAAACCTCCAAACATGATTGTTAACTGAATGCCAACTGTTTCTTCTCATCTTTTTTTTTTTTTTTTTTAGTGGTATGCTAGGGATTGTGTCCTTATGTCCTTATGGGTGCCCTATAACCATAACATTAATTTGGTATTATATTTAAGGATTTTTTTTTTTTCTCTTGCAGTAGTAGAGGTACATTGTGCAAGAAATTAAATTGCTGCTTCTATTTTTTTGTGTGTGTGTTTTATAGTGATTTTTTCAGCTCTGCTAATAGTGGAAAGGGAAGAAATAAAGCAATGCTGCAGGCACTGACTGGACTACAGTTTCAGCTCAGAGGAAAGCTACGGGATCAAGAGTGGACAGACAAATACCCTCAAGAAGAAGTGCATGCACGTTATTCACAGTGCCATATGCCAGTTTCACAGTATCCTGGGTTCAATGGCTTTTTTCCGCTGGGAACACACTTTTCATCAGACAAAGCTCCAGCAATCTCAGAGGTACCTATATTATCAACAGACAGTTACAAAACCTATTTCTGAATGTTGTGTTATCTGCACAAAGCTATACTTACTTGTAACATAATTATCTCATTTTTAAGTGCACCTAAATGAAATCCAGGAGGGAGATGAGGGATAGAACTGTTGGGGTTAACATTTTCTAAAAATTATGTAGGGCAAGCAAATGATGGGGTATTAACTAACTAGGTCTTGTACACTCCTTGAATCATTTAATTTCAGGATCAGCTCTCTAATGATCTAAGGCTGACAACACACTCCATCCTCCCCTTGGATAGTGGAATGGCTCTGGAGGTTTCTTTCAGCATGCCGCAGTGTTTCCAGGCAGCAGCTAGGGAACAGGAATGGGGCTGAGTACTCCCTTGTCCCATGGCAGGGCAGGCAGCTTCTTGTGACATGCAGAGAGAGGGAATGCTGCCTCCTGGTAGAACTATGTCTGGCAGATGTTTTTCGCATCAGCTCTTCAGGAATATACGTTTTCAAGTGCTGCTGTTGACAGCCTGGCACGGTCCAGGGTTGAGGTCTGGAGTTCCACGTCCAAGAAAGACCTGTGGGGAAGTGGCTTGGTACAGTGGTCGTGGTTCTGTACATAGGTGTTAGGGCAGCATCGCATGGGCTGCTCGCTCCTCTGCCTCAGCAGGGCACATGTAGGGTTGCAGAGCAGCAGCTTGTCAACCACACCATCTCTTGCGAGCTGTGCATGTGCACTGCAGAACTGATGTTTAAAAAACATTCCTGAACAGATCAGGTGATGCCACCATACTTCTGTCTGTCAAAATTGGAAGTAACTGTGGTATTTCAGAAACCACATGGTGGCAGCTGTTGATAAAGGCTGGTACTAGTTTGTTTTTAATTTTTCAAACTGAGGAATGCTAAACTGCATCGAGTGGAGCTGCCAAGTAGTCATTTCATAGCTGTTACATCAGGAATGTTCTGATAGCTGGATATCTGATGCATTGACCCTTTCTTTCTCATTTCACACTGGGAAGGAAAATAATAAGTAGAGAGCCAGCTACTATCCAACCTCTGAATCCAACAATGAATATTTTAAGCCTTTGTCTGACTGCTAATAAACTTTCCCTTCAGTTCTTGCCACTCCCTTTCTCTTCTGGGCTCCCTCCACTCTCCTGTTCCTCCAGTATTCCTCAATGTAGCCTGGGGAAAAGAAGTTTAAGAAAAATAATAAAGTTTTTATTTATTCCTTATAGACTTTTTCTGCCCCTGTGGGCATTTGTCTGCCTGTCTGGCTAATGTGCTGTAATGAATCTGCTCTCTGCCATACACACATGTATCGTCCTATCGATCAGTGAGAAGAAATGCTGAGTATGGTGAGTGCTAACAAGCACTCAGAGGGGTCAGTACACCAGTGCACTATACTGGCATGCTACTTTCCCTACAGGCTGCTTTAATTGGGAGAAAATGAATCAGGCAACATGTGTCTGGCACCATGTCTTCTCACTAGCCTGCCCACTTTGGCAAAATGACCCTCCCCTGCTTCAACTTTCAGGGCAGTGCTAACCCTCACCTGGCTCCTGCTGGAAGTCAATTTCCTCCTAGGTCCTTTGGAGTCCTTGCATTGGCTGAGGCAGGTTGTGCTGCTGGAGGAGCCTGCTTGCAGAGGCTAGTGTAGACCAAAGGGTGCTCAAGAACCTGTGGGGATAGCACTTTGCAGGTTGGAAATCACATGGCAAAAAGATGGGAAAAGGTGAAGGAGAAGTAAGGAAGGGATTGTGGGGAAAGGAAAGCAAGGAGGGATGGGAAAGAGAAAATAAGGAGAGGGAAAGGATGAAAGAACCGGGAGAGAGCAACTGGAAGGATTGATGGAATAAACAAATAAGAGGGGAGGGAAAAAGGTGAAGAACTAATAATGAAAAAGATGTGGAAAGTTGTATAGTGCTGGAGAGAAATACCAGAAATAGAAAAAAAAAAAAAAAAGTAGAAAAAAATAAATATATTCCTGTGCACAAGTCAGGGTAGACAGAAAGCAACAACTCCAAAAGAACTCAAAGAAGATCAGGTCATCAGAGGAATTTTTCAAAGACAGGTTTCAGAATTTAGACAAGGAATTATGCCCTATCCATAATTAAGTAGAAGTATTTAAGTTATATTCCTAAAGACATGCTGACTTCTACACGTGATTTCTTCTCATGCATTTATGGCAAGACAACACGCCATTGTGGAAAGACTGTCATCACTCTGTAGAAGAGTTATGTGTGAGTAAATTTTCTACCAGAGGCTTTACAGCAAAGCCAATCTGTCCTTTGTTGGCTGTCTGGAAGGTGAAACGGGATTTGTTAGGGAGAACAGAAGAATTATAGATCTCTGAGGAGTTATAAAGTCCAAGATAGGAACTCAGGGTTAACAGCATGTAAGAGCAGATCATTATGTCTTTCTGAAAGTCCCCCATTTTCTTTGCATGCACAGAAGTTCTGGTGCTGATAAGTGTAGCATGTTTGCATGGCAATAAAATGATAAAAAATCTTAATGCTGTTTTTCACAGCCCAGAGCCAGCACTAATGAGGAATCCAGATTGGGTGAAGAGTTACCATCAAATACCATTGAGATCATTGACATACATTACTGAGATCAAGGATTCAGAAATATAGTAGGAAAGGGTGACCTCGGTATTTTAGAAAAACAGTGCCAAAGGCCTAAGACAGTTCAGAATTTGATTCATTCTGAGGCCTCTTCTTGTGACACAAAACCAGCATCCTGATTAATTTCTGTTTTGATAAAGGACGGTTACTTATACTATCCAGAAAGGTGAATCAACCTCTAGAAGTGTCAGGGGTAGTTAAAGATGTCAGATTTTCTCCTGCAGTACCTACAAGCCATATAAACAAAGCAACCTTGGCTTTAGCAAACATCTGGTCTAAAGATTGTGTAAGAAAATCCAGAGGAACGTAGGATGGCATTTGTGACTCAAAAAGTGTGATTTCTGCTCTTGAATGAATGACAGATGAGGTGAAGGGCAACATGTGGTGAGAAACGCCATCCTTCAGTCAGTAGGAAAAGGCCAGGTTCCCACTGTTCATGATTACACCCTGCTGCCCTTTTCTGAAGAGTGTTCCAATATCCTAGTCAAAGTTCAGCTTAGATAATGACTAGCAACACCTTTTAAATGAAAAATGATTTTCTTTAGGAATGGCTTTTATCAAATATTAGTTTTGGTGGAAACTTTAGTGTCCTTTCTTCTTGAAGCAATCAGACAAAGCAAGCTAATTTTGTAGTGTCTTCGATCACTTACCTTGCTCCCTCCCACATCCTTTAATGGATACTTTTAAATGGAGATTACATTATATATATATATAATGTATATATGATATATGTAATACATATATATTATGTACACAATGCATACATGCATATATGTATTAATGTATATATAACAGTGTATATATACATTATAATGTGTATAGTTTGTGTGTATACATATATATATACATGTATATATATAAACTTTCTCCAGCCTCTTCCTTCTCCATGGCATGCCTCTGTTTAAAGTGATATACTGTGTGGGTGGAGGATTGTGTATGTCCTTTGTAAAGACTACTGGCATCTTTTAGGTAAAGAGAGCAATAATATATATTGTGATTATCATTGTTAAAAACCAGAAGTAATCATTAACATATAAACATTCAATACAGATATTCACTAGTGATAAGATGTTGTGACTGGAAGAACTCTATTGTCATGGTAGTGTTTTATAAGAATTAACAAGTTATTCATCATAAATAGCACAGGAATGGTTGATATGCTTAACAAAGAATGAAAGAAAGGTAAAGTGGCTTATGGAAAATTGATCTCATCAATCTAACTTTTGATCTGGTTTGATCAGATTTCAGGTTTGTTTGATAGAAGTAAGATTGTTAATACAATATAATCAGGGTTTTTCAAGGTGTTTGATTAGTACCTGTGGCAAATAAAATTAGCTTGTCATGAAATAATTGGATTAATAAACTGAATAACTGACAGTTGTGAAAATGGATTTGGAAAGGTGGGATCATTGCTTGTTTGGATATAGTCCTTTGTAATAGCACAAGAATGAGTTGTTGGCCTACTGCTACATAAATACATTATCAACTAAAGAACACAGTTTACATGTGTAAGTGACTTCATTTCTGGAGGACTGGAAAAGAGTGCAGAAAAACGCCACTGCTGTAGAGTAGTATGGGTCTTTACAGACTGCAAGCACAACTAAATAGTGTGTATTTTAATGAGAAGTGAATGGAACTGCACCTCCAGAAAATGTAAATCTCTATTGGTCTATAACAAGGTGGTGAACTTTGTCCTGGGAACCTCTAATTTCATTAAGGACCTCGAAGTCAGGGTCCTTGATCAACTGACAATGAGTTGTTAGCACAGCATTGCAGCCAAAAAAAAATCTTGAGTTATTTAAACTGGTATATAATATATATATATAAATAATTTGAATAGGACCATGGTTACTGTTTTACCTGCTTATTAGATGGTCAGATCATTACTAGATGCTGTGTCAATTCAATTCAGTAGGAAACTGAAAAAGTAGGAAATTCTTTACTGTGAGGGTGATGAGACACTGGCACAGGCTGCCCAGAGAAGCTGTGGATGGCCTATCCCTGGAAGTGTTCGAGACCAGGCTGGGTGAGGCTTTGTGCAACCTGGTCTGGTGGTAGGTGTCCCTGCCCATGGTAGGGGGTTGGAACTGGGTGGTCTTTAAGGTCCTTCCAGCCCACAGCATTCTGTGGTGAGAAAGTAAGATCTAGAAAAAGAATCCAGAAGGTCTTTTACAGCATTATCCTGAAAGGTTTTGGGACCACCATCTGTTTACGTAGTGTAAATTGAAGTTTAAAGTAGACCTGCTGAAAATCTGCCAACACATGCAGAGACACCAAAACATTGAGAACAGACATTCTAGTATACACAGCAAATGTTCATAGTGGTTAGACACAGGGGTTAGAAGCTGAAGCTGGAGTCTCTGGTTAAGAATATTTTCACCTGTT